TTTGTTATTTTTAATTATTATAGATTTTTACATTTCAGTTGTTAAAATATTTTAAAATTAGTTAAAAGCCGCATCAGGTTTCCTATAGCGTCCTTATTTTTAGCACGTTGTGAATTGTATCCTTTTGACTAATCAGAGGACCGGCAATAATTAAGAAATGTAATTTTGTATTTATAATCGGGCTGTAATCATAAAGTACGGAAGACCAACCAGAATACAATTAAGTTGCGTTATTTGAGTTAAGCATTGTTCTCCGGTGTTAAGGCTTTTACTTTTGCGAAACACGTGCGGAGAAGTTAATTTGATTTTTCAATTTCAACAGAGAAGGGTACCTACAAGTATCAGTATCATCTTACGAAATTTATATGATCTTATTTTTATATTAATCTCAGTTATGACATTTTTCCATAAATGAAATATCAAAATTAATAATAAAATGAATGGAAATACAAACAACACAGTAAAATGTAATAAGTGTACATGAAATTATAGTATTTTATGTATACTTCTGATAAAATTTCATAAGAAAGGTACCTATAAATTAGGTACCTCCACTAGGTCGCGTAAAAAAGCAGCATATCACAATGAAAAAAAGCGCATAAATCAACGAAAACAAAGTATTTTCTCAATATGTTTATGTTGTTATTAAGACGAAAGACCAAAGTATGTTTTTATTATTTTTTGAAATTTTTTACTCCTTTCTAGCACGTAGAAAATTTTGGTTAAAATTTTTTTTTTATTTTAATGAAACATTTAGGACTTATTCAGAAATGAATGAAATTATTTTTGAAATTTTCTTTTTAGAAAATCTTGTTAAAAAGATATTTTTTAACATGTTTCCACCCCCTTACATATTTTCATGAAATTTCGAGAAATTAAATCTTTAAGCATGGAATTTGTTTTATTAGTTAAAAACAGGACTCTTTATAGAAAGTAAATCACCAGTTGTTTTTTTTTTTGTTTTTTGTAAAACAGTTACCCGTTTCATAGAAAATCTGCTCTGAATTATAAAAAAATGTAAAAAACTATGATATTTATTAATTAGAAAAGCTTTGACTTGCTTTTGTAAATATGTTATATTATGTTATATATGTTATAATATTATATATATTACGTTACATATGTTATATTAAGGACATTATTTTATGAAGAAATAAAATGTATTTTTACAATTTTTTTTTCCATTTAAAAATTTTTTTTCATTAACTTCTTAATACTTCAAAAATCGTAAGCACGTAATGCAATGATAACGTTAGTGGAAAAGTAAATTTACGAATCGAAATTTGAAAAGCACATAACAGTCATTTGTACCCGAATATTTTAAAAATATTTTTTTTTTAAATTTATTGAAAAAAACGTTTATAATTTCTACGTATGGAAATGTATTCATGACATAATCCTTAAAAATTTTAAACAATTATCGAATTAATAAAAAAAATCAAACTATTATATAATTAAAAATTTAAACAATTATTATCTAATAAAAAACTTTAAACAATTATCTAATGAAAAAGTTTAAACAATTACCTAATTAATAAATAAAGTTTAAACAAATATCTAATTAATAAGAAAAGTTTAAACAATTATGCAATGATTTAAAAAGTTTAAATAATTATCTAATTAAGAAAGTATGAAATAAAAAATAAATATTACATTATTGCTGAATAAAAATGTTAATAGTCAAAAAGTACTAGTTAAAAACGAAAAACCGCGTTCGCTTACTTCGCAAAAGTTATCAATTTTGATCATCCATAGTAGCTTGTCATCACCTCTTAACAATCGATTACTTTGATAACGTGAATAAAGACATGAAAAAATTCAGACACATCGTTAAGAAATGTTTCGATACAATTTTTTTTATGCTATAAGTAAGTACTGTTTGTTTCCTATCAGATTAATTTAACTTTAAATTTTCTAATTTTACTCAAATAACGTGTCAAAAATATATAAATTTATTTTAGGAAGAAATTTAAAATCAAAATTTTTTTTTTTTAGTTACAAATTTCTTAAAAGTTAAGAAAATGGCCGCTTTTAAGAAAATTTTAAAAAATCGAGCATATATTTGACATTCCAATCTATATAATTTCTATCTGAAATACCAGAATATGTTACTTACTGTAAGTAATAAATTTAATGCTTTAGCTTTCAATTAATAACAACATATTGAAACAAAACTTTGTTTTCGTTGATTTATTGGCCTTTTTTCATCGTGATATGCTGCTTTTTTACGCGACCTAGTGGAGGTACCTACTATAAATTAATTAGATATCTTTCTTATGAAATATGAAATTTTATCTCACTCTTAACAGACTTATTTTAATTTCTTTATAATATATTTTGCATAAAGCATCGTAAACGTAAAGGCGAAAGCTAAGTACAAAAAAAAAAAAATTAGGGCGCTGAAATTTTCCTTAAAAATAACGAGGTAAATAATTCGTTCACTTAAATGTAAATAATTTCACTTTTCTCTTTCCGTAGAACAAATTATGCTCACGGAATCCGTCAATATGTCATTCATCACCTGTCAAGTGACGTGGAAGTTTATGACCTGCTTTGTTTTGTTTTCAAATTACATCTTTTCGGCGCAGAAGCTAAGTTAAGCTTGGTTCAAAATATTTTAAATTAACATTATAATTTCTGATTTTCTTAAAATAAGTTTTGAAAACAATGATAATTGATATTGAAAAAGAATTTCAAAGGGAGATTTTCAGTTTTTTTATAAAACAAGATTTTTAACGAAAATTTCGGACGTGCTAGAGCTAGAAACGATTAAAAATGTAAAAAAAATACCCCCAAAATACTTTGATCTTTCCTCTTAATAATAACATAAACATTTAGACGATAAAAATTTGTTTTCGTCAAGTTTGGCGTCTTTTCCTCATGCTATGCCCTTTTTTAGTGATCTCGTGGAGGTACCTATACGACTGTGAATTTGATAATAATTCTTTCAGGTTCTTTTCACGAACACCTTATTGCAATGCTATACATTAAAACAAAATAAAATATATTTTACAGTAAAATAAAAAATATATAATTGTGCATTAGTTGGTTTCAAGAAACAAAAGAAAAAAAAACAGAGCCACTTCGTGATTGAAGTAATTCATTGGTCGATAAATCTAAGAGAGTTAATTTAAAAGTGAAAGAAGGACAGATATCTTAGAATTTGGAATTTCAATTGGTCTTATTTTGGAGGAATTCGTCTCAAAATTAAGAAAATAAAAACGTAGAAAGAGAATTAAAAACGGAATGGACAGATATTTTTTATTTTTTTCTGGAGAACTCGTACAAAGAATATGGCGGAAAAGGATATTTCCAAATTACAATGGCCACATAATTATACATGGACAATGTGTAAGAATTAGATGTTTGGTCGATTTGAAACGGACAAATGAAGTATTAGACGCTTTTGAACATCCCTGATGAGTAATAAACAAAGAATTTGACCAAATTCGTCAAATACTTGTTTTTAAATCCTTTGCATATATTCGTACAAGATATATCGATCAGTTATTTCTTTTCTCAAACACAATAGATTTTATATTCCACAACATTTGAATCAAACCAAACAATTATTTTAACGATAAAGAATTTGAATAAACTAATTACTTCTCATTTAAATGATTTTGTTTCAACATTACATTTTCAGTATATATTTGATTGTGTTTTGTGGAGTGTTCACAAGAAGGTTGTGTTGCACTAATCTATCCAAACTAATATTCTTTTAGATGCAGAGTCCCTTGTGGACGTGCATGTCTATCCAAAATTACTTTCCTTTATAGAACTCGGCAATATTTGTCTCTTTTTATACCCCGGCCGCTCCCTCTTCTGGTATCCATTTACACAGTTCGTCACAAGGGTTAGTGGATGTTTCTCTCTGTCCCTCTTTCCAACAATGTGACCTGTAAGTCTCAGTTTCCCAAAGGCCTACATCCTTATAATGTGTACTAGAAATTTTAAGTCTCTTTCTGATTTCAAGAGCAAGTGTCTTTTCTGTTCCGATTTTTCTTAAAACTTCCTCATTGCTCACATATTGCACCCATGTTATTCTTGGTATCGTTTTGTAGAGCTACATCCCTGTAGCCTCAAGTCTCATTTTCGTCTATGAGAAAATGCACCGCCATATTGGACTGAATTTACATTAATGTTGAACACTCTTTTCTTTGTTCCTAAGAAAATTATTCTGTTTCTTAAAATTTTGTTTATCTTTTGGAAGGCATCTTTCCTTATTCTAATGCGCCTTCTGTCTCGTCATCTGTTATAACACCACTCAGATATTTAGATTTCTCTACTTTTTTCCCTTGACGTTTCCAATTCGCATCTGGTTTGATGGCTGTCTCTTTGTTAACAACCATACAATCGGTCTCATTTCAATTGATAGTCCTTTCTTCTTGATTTCTTTCCGTACTTTGTCTAGAAGTTCATGCTGTTTTCTTTCTGTTGTATTAAAAAGTTTCTTACTTTTATGTTGATCTGGTTACTTTCTTAAGAGTTTTGAATATGATAACACTTAAGTAATATTTACAGCAAATCGTTCAACGTCATATAGAAGAAAACGCTCTCAATCCTACCTAATTCATTTATCATGATCAAATCAGTTGATCTTGAAATTATTAAACTTCATACTATTTAATTCCTCAATTCCTGAGATGTTTGAATATAATGTCTCACAAGTAATACGTGCTCCTAAGCTTTGAAGGTAGCAATGAAAAAAAAAAAAAAAAAAAACTCTCAATTCTGTCCTATTTATTTCTCCGTGAAAAATAATGAATAGATTTACACCCGAGATGCTTTCTCTTTTCTACTGAAACTATCTTGAAATCATTAACCTGGTATTCATTCTATTTACTACATAATTTCAGAACAAATCGACCTTTTTATTCTCCTTTACGATGTTAGGAATATTTTGGGATTATTATTCTTTGCGTATTTTTCTTTGCAAATTTTGGTGACGATTTACGCAAAGCAAAACATTTCGATGCCCAATATCTTTTATAAATTCTTCATGTTGAGTGATTCAAAGCGGCCTGAGCTTCAATGTGATATTCCTCCTTTTCCCTGAAGAAGAAATAATGTATAAATTAGTATCGTATAATCAAAGCATTTGTCAATATATAGTTATCCAAAACATTTAACGTACAGCTACGTACACAGTGTAACAACATTTCTCCTCTCTCAACTTATAAAATCTCTCAATTTCATACAAGATTTATACCAGAAAGATAGAACATCACCAAATCCGCCTTGCCAACGATTCTTTATGTTCAATATTCAGCGTTTGATTATGTTAAACAGCGTAAATACATACACAGGAAATTAAGTTAATAGTTATTAATAATAGAAGCAACTGCAACAGATATTCATAATAGAAATGAAGAGACATGGCTAGCAAATTCGCCTAAAAACTATGCTTTTGCTGAGTTCAATGCCGGTGTTAGACAAAGTTAAACTTAGTAAATATCTATTCTATGTGTTTTAAGAAATTGATTTTACTCGATTTAGAAATTGTTTTACTTTCATTAAAGGTGTCACTGCAACATCGCCAACTACTTCGACAGATTAGGTAGTTTTTGAAGAGTGGTTTCCAAATGTTTTCTCATCAATATTTTTATCCGTCAACCATTGTGGGATGTCATGACTATGCCAGTGTTTCCGCCTTATTAACATTATTGTAACGCGAAGTGTCGATGTTTTGACGATCGTTTCCTTAATGTTGCGAATCCCATAAAATAATCGAACTCTTGTTACCTTATAGCGTTAGACCTTTGCCTGCAAACATCGTCAAAATTGTCCTGTATGGGTCTGTTGTTGGTTTCAGGAAGGAAGAAATAAGAGGCACCAACTAAAATGCAGGAAATTCCCATCGTCAACAGAGGCAGGCTTCTACCCACCTTTCCAGATGCTAGTGTACGCTAGTGTAAACAGGAGATAGAAATATTTTTAGTTAGGTTGCATGAAAATATAACGATCATTGTTTGTGGAAAATAGCATTTGTTTGGGGAAATTTTCCTTAGATGTACATAGAATAGAATCTTTATACCAAGCGGGAAAATACAGAAAATCTTCTGTTTCACATTGGGAAAACATATTTCATAGCGAAACTGTGTGGTGATAGAATGGAGTGGATTTTTTTTTAAGAAAAATGAAGAATAAACTAAACCTACATTTGTAAAAGAAACTTTGTTTTACTGAATTCGATGTTTGTTTTCAATTTTCCGGTGCTTTCAAAATGGTTTGCATCACCTTATGGCTTCTTTTAAATTTTAACGACTTTAAAAAAAATCAGGATGGATGGCATCCACAGTTTTTCTATTAAAGAACTGAGATTGAGGTATATTTGTTGTTATCCTTTACATCATTAATTATGTAATAACTTTTAAACCATCATGAGAGGTTTGAAGTGAAATGGGAAAGTAAGGGCGATTTTACTGGCGAACTAAGAGGAAAATGATTTCAGCGATATAAAGAATTCGAATTTCGAAGAATTATTTTAGATTAAAATGAGAAATGCACAGTTCTCCCAGCTACAATGCACGCAAGATGAATAAATTAATTCTAAAATAATGTATAATAGATGTGAGTATATTTAATTGCCTTACTGACACAAAACATGAACATTGTCTGAAAGAATATATAGAACAAATCATTGCTTCAAGAGCAATCTTGAGACAATTTGAATTTTTTTAAAATTTCGATTAGAATTAATTAGATTTCTGCCTTTGACCTAGAAATGAACATTATTTAATTATCTCTAAAACATTTCTGAATATTGAAAATCATTATACCTTAATATTTGGTTTCGATCCCTTGAATAGGCTGCGCTAGACGTTATTTGGCCCAAAACTGAAAATTGGCACAAGATCCAAAAATTAACTTAAAGATCAAGACTTTCATATGGATGCCTGGCATAGCACGAATTTCACTCAGAAATGTCTAAACTATCATCTGTATACAAGCGCGCTTTCTCAGATTAACGATTAAAGAGAGTAGGAGTGGTTGATTGGTTGGTTGAGTGATTTGTTTTTACGGCTTATCAACCATTTGCAGGTTGTTTAAAGCCAACAAATATTTTTGATTGTAATAATTATTCGGAAATAGTAATCATTTATTAATAGAATTACAACTAATTAACCCATAGCTGTTGGGAAGAAGAAGTAAATTCATGCCTTTCCCAATGATATTTGCGCATAACTGAATATAAGGAACTTATTGCAATTGAAACTCGGATCTGTGATTTCCAATTTTAAGCGGATTTCAATTTCCATTACACCACCCACACATCCAAGCTCACAGCATTTGGTATTTCCAAGCACTCACCCATATAACTAGATTGCTTAACATCAGTGATCGCATGTGAACCAGAGTTTCACCGTGACATATCTGTTAGCCTTGGAAACAGAAGACCTGCAATTTTTTAGCGAGGACCATTCTTCCTCAAAACCTCTGAACTGACGCTACAGAATCATAAAAACCTTTACAAAATAACAGAAATCACATTAACTGATGACTTTCAACAGCAGCAACAAAAATTTGAAATGTTGAAATTCGAAATTACTTGAAAGAAAAGTTTAGGGAGAAAGTCACCATCAATACTGAAAAGAGCTATAGCAGATAGTGAGCTTGAGAAATCTATTTTCCTGAAGGATTAAGAAAAAGATTTAATAAATTTCAAGCGAAATTAGTATTGGCTCCTCGGTCAATGAATGCTGAATGTTTCCTCGCAACGAACCGTTTAATATTACCATTACTTGGAATCTTACAACAATATTTCGCACGAGCATTTTATAAGCCTAGCGTAGTAATACAGAAGGCCACACGAATAGGGTGTCCATGGAAATGAGATCAATTCATCGATTCAAAGGTTGCATAAAATAACCAAGACGAATATAATTCATTGTTATTTACAAATAATAATGAAAACATTACTGTGGAAAATAAGAATAATTTTAAAAATCTATTGATCATTTCAAAGCTAATTAATCTATTTACAGTTTCTAATTACTATCGCTAAGCTTCTCCCTACATTAGGCAGTAGGAAATATTTTTAGGTATTGTGCCCATCCTTTAAGATTATTAAAACTATAACGTAACAAAATATCGAAATATTCATAAAGCAATTAACAAACGGCTGTGTGTATTTAATGTTTGATTATAACAACGTATTGTGAGAATGGGAGGCCGCGAAAAACCTTAACTATGGCTTCTGAAATATAAATGAATACAAAAAGCACAGCTGAAGAAGTGACTTGAAGTAACAAAACGATTATACAGAAGGATGCTGAGAATATATGTAAGCAATGACGAAGTTGTAGGGAAAAGGTAAATAAAAGAAATACTGATAATTAACATAAAAAAGAGACAGTTGAAATTTCTAGGTCACATAAGAAGAAAAGAGTGTTTGGAAAATTTGATACCCACAGAACAGACTGAAGGCAAGAGGGACAAAGGTAAATAACTCACCATGTGAGAATGAGTAAATGGATGGCCCACCAAGGTATTAGATTGGTGAAAACAGTTCTCTCCCGCTATGTAAACTGCGTCTAGAGATTATATGCAAAAGAGGTATTGTCAAATATTTTATGTAAAATTCATAGATATGTGTTATCCAATGAAATAATTTGTACTATTATGTATAGCGAGTAAGCATGAAAGTAATTAAGTCCCAATTTTCAATTTCAGATTGATATTTAGTATTTTTTCAGTAATTATAGCAATTTGCTGTGTCAAGAGATTATTTGCAAGAACTAGAATTTAGTATTATGTCTCGTAAAAAAGAACTAAGAATGAATGAAAAGAACTATATAATAAAAAGAAATTAGCAAAGGAAAGTCTTCGCTTCAAATTTCTAAGGATTTGAAAAGGGATCATTGAACAATCAAGAAAATATGTCAAATGCGAATTCAACCAAGGAAAAAAAAGTCTCAGGCGGAATTCAGGAATTTAACAAAGCGAGATCTATCACATATCCGAAGAGAATTAATAAGAAACCCAAATGCGTCAAGTGCGTTCATATTTGAGGCCGCTGGAGCTCCTATGGTGTCAAGGGAAACAAGGTGTAAAGCATTAAGGAAGTTTGCTGATGTAAAAAATCAATTAAAGAAACCCATTTTAACAAAAAAAAAAAAAAAAACATAAGGAAAGAAGATTGCAGTGGGCAAAAAATACATGAAAACTGATTTCAGTAAAGTGCTTTTCACAGACGAATCAAGGATCACCCTCGATGGGCCCGATGGATGGGCTCGAGGATGGGTTTGCAAGCAACATGACTCAAGAATTTTTTTTAAACGCCAACAAGGTGGCGGTGAGATCATAATATGGGCTGGGATTATTGGTAATGAGCTCGTGGGCACATTTAAACTGAAAGACAGGGTTAAAATGAATTCCAAAAGTTACTGTGATTTTCTAGAGCAATATTTCTTTGAATGAAGCGATAACCAGTCTTTAATAAGCGTAGATCTATGATCTTTATGCAAGACAACGCACCAAGTCATGCATCAAAGTTTACTAAATCCTGGTTGAAAGAAAAGAGATTTGTTGAAGATTCTCTTATGCACTGCCCTTCAAATAGCTGTGACTTGAATCCCATTGAGAACCTGTGGAGCATCCTTAAGAAAATATTTATTCTAATGGAAGGCAATTCAACAGCAAGTGTGACCTCTGGGAGGCAGTTAAAGTTGCTGCAAACAACTTACCAGCCGCTAAAATTGCAAATCTAACATCAGATGTTGACAATAGGCTGCTAAAGGTGCATTTGTGCAATAAATTTTAGGAGGTTCTTATTATTTTTTGTTAATATATCTTTTATTTTTCAAATAATTTTTTTTTTATGTTTTCCTTTAAGAAATTGACGAATTTGTTCTAAAATCTTTTCATATTATTTTTTTACATTAGTTTTACAAGGTGTAATAATGTAAATTTATCAAAATAAATAGTTGAAAATAAACAACTGACAGTCAAATTAGTTTGTTTTGTTAACTTAGTAAAATTTTTACCAACCAAAAACAATAGTTATCTCTATCACTATATATCTAAGTTAATAATATTGAGTAGAATCTAAACAACATCAGAATAGGACTTTTAACATTAAAGACGCAACTCTTTATACCAATTCATAACTTGCATATAATCTCTAGACGCAGTTTAGAAATGAAAACCAAATGATAGCCGTCGGAGTTCAGCTAAACAGGGACCGGGATCTAGGACAGACGCGTTGATAGCACTCTTTCACAATGACTTGGGATCTGCTCCAAGGTCAATGGACTAACTCCAGAAAAGGGAACCACATTGCATTTCTGAAGAAGCGGATATCAGTTATCTGTTCAGCAACGAATACCCCCTCTGGTAAGTCACGCTACACATTCTATGTAGGGGAGACAATGTCTTTTTTAACTTTTGTAATAATAATAAATATTGTTATTGTTGTAACTAGAAAAGACAGGAAACTCTGGATAGCCAGGATCGCCTACTTCCTGAAGGGAAATGACACACATCATCATTATAATAACAATAATAATTTTTTTTTTGTCAGTGGAAAGTGTCATGACGCCATTTCTAACCTTAGGTCCCTGGGCGGGACCCGGAAAGAAATGTGTAAACGCCAGAAATCAAAGAAAATAATAATAATAATAATAATAATAATAATAATAATAATAATAATAATAATAAGAAGAAGAAGAAGAAGAAGAAGAAGAAGATTGTATGTTATTTTCTTTTTTGGCGATTTCCAATAAGCTTAGTGTTTCCTTTATTTTCGAATAGTTGAATACAGTAAAGCAAAATTTCTGGGAATTTTCTACGTAGTAACGCACCTCTAATTTGGAGAAGTTAAACGTGGGTGAAAGTTCTATAAACGTGTAAACAACCATTTTTGAATAACCAAGAAATTACCAAAATGGGAAACAAATAGAAACGAAAAAAATAGCGCCAGCAGATTGAAAATCTGCGCAGTTTATATCACTGTGAATTTACTTTTTTTTAAAATGAATGATAAAAGCCTCCAAATCACTTGACTTTACACCGACATCAGTTAAAACTAATTTGTTAACATATCGCACTATATTTCATTTTAAATTGAAAAAATAAATAGTAAATTTGAGGAGAATGATTTGAACAGTTAAGGTACTTTGTTATTCGCGCACTAATTATTTCGTAATTTAATAAATTTTACGTACTAGATTTACAATGTAGGGGGATATGACACCACCCAGTGTTTCAAAGGCAGAAAGACATCCAAGTGCTCCGTTTCTTACACAGGTTGGGTACAATTCACAGGTGTGCAGGTAGATGATTGCAAAATTACCACTAATGCAGAGTCTGCTCAAGGTAGCTAATAATGTTGTCGTCCATTGTAAATCTGAATTAGGAAATGACAATCAGTTCATAAAACATGAAAATCATTAATGGCGGTTATTATCTTAACAACATAAGATATGCAGATGACAGTGTTTACAGCAGACACTGAAAGGAAACCACAAAAACTCCTACGGAAGGTAGTGAACAGAAGCGAAAAGGAAGGACTAAATATCAATTGTAAGATGGCAGAATCCATGCTTATTAGTATCAGGAACATCCTAACATGCATATTACAAAATGGAGGTACCAAAATCATATATAACAATTTAAATATCTAGAAAGTGTTTTAACAGCAGACGGAAAGTACGACACTGAAATGCGCATGTGCAGTAGATGCAAAGTAATGAAACAGGTAAAAATTCGTTAGAAACAAAATGAGTGCTGAACTTTTACATAATATCGGTCCTCTTATAAGGCAATGAATACTGGACAATCTCCATACAGATTAAGATGAGACTTGAAGCATCATAAATGTTGTTATACAATAGATTCTGAGAATACCAGGAACCGAACGTGTGAGCATCGTCTGAAGCAGTTTTACTTATCGTCAGAAATAGACGGTTAAAATTTATAACACACATAATGCAGAAATTGTGCTTGGAAAATGCGATACTCACAGGACAGATTGAAGGCAAAAGGGACAGAAAAATAGCGCATCATCTACCTAGAGAGCTGGTATAACTGGATTGAAGAACAGATATTAGGTGTGAAAACAAAAATACAAAATTTATTAATAGCTACAAAGGAGAGAAAATTATAGAGATGAAGGGACATGGCACATAGTGGAAGATGGCGATAAAATTATAGAAAAGTGAATCTTTAAACTAGAGTGACAAAATTAAAACAAATAATTTAAAAGAAATATTTCTTTGAATTTCTGTGACCATTTATTAATTACATGATTTACATTCGGACTCATAACTACATCTTCGCTACTATAGTCAAGATTTTTCGGCTGCTTCGAGTGTTTATTGACCCAGATAACTTGCACGATATTTTGAACTGAACTCTACGTGGTAGATTGAACACATACTGCTATAAATTTCCAGGGATATATCGGCATTTTTGCCATTTGAATACCCAATCGCACTGTTTCCAACTTCCAAGAAAACATTTTCCGACATCAATTTGACATCCTGCACCCGTCAGAGAATGTAGAATACTACCAGCGTATAAAGAATGGAAAAGAAAAAAAAGTGTATTATCTTACCCTCTTCAGCGTACATGAGTGGAAAAATTGTTATGATGGCACAAATTCCACCAGTAACTATGAAGGCAATATACAACTTCTTTCTCCCGAAACGGCCCAATAAAAATATACACGACAAAAGAGCAGGAACTTCTACCAGACCACCAAAGAAGAAATTCAGGAAGATGTTTCCACTCAGATTTTCGGTATTTATCAACAATCCGAAATACACAAAACTCACTACAAACCTGAAAATATATTCAATAAAAATAACATATGTAAATGCTGAATGCGTTGCATTGTTTTCTGGGCTGTTGACATTTGACATCAAGGAATTGTTGGAGACATTATTGGGCAATAAAATAATTTCCAGCACACTCATAAAATAATATCTCATAAACAATATCACTTTCATTGCAAGTAACAAGAGATAAACATATTATTAATAGTTTTAAAGAGACACCCTTCTTCGCAAAATTCAAGTAAGTATTACTAGACTGGCAACTACTTCTACGTACCATAGCTTAATTCCTTTTAGCAACTCAATTCTCTAAGTTTTTTTTCTCTCTCTCTGATGTGGCTAGTTAATGAAATTTTTTTGGATTATTCAACAAACGTTTTATCCAATGGGCCATGTGTCCTTGGGATGATGAGTGAGTGATTTTTTGGGACTTATAAGCTTAATGTCACAGTAAACATCTACAATTACGACTACAATTTATGTTATTGTTGTATTTCTCAAGCTTTCTGTATTACTGGTTCCAATATTGTATTCATGTCTATGCTTGGCCGGCTTAGGAGATTTTTCTGGCCTGGCATATACGCTGATTCCTTAAGTTTTTGTATTTTCCAGTGTTGTTCAACTTCATCCCCCAGAGACGAGCGATCTCTTATTTTCCTTCATATATGGTCAGTTAGATTTTTCTAATTCCGCTAGTGTTACTGCTTTACGATGTTCTTGCAGTCTTATCTTAAGTGGACAGCCTATTTCCCCTTCACATTTCTTGCCACAGCTGCACACAATGGCGTAAGGACAGCTTTAATCATGTTCTCTTGCATGGACGGTCTTAAGCTCGGAAGCAGTATCTTACTAATGATGACATCTATTCTGTTGCTGACTTTTTTTTATACCCAACAGGATGAACAGTCTTCTATGAAAAGTAAGATGTCAGTTTACCTGAAAAGAAATCACAGTTATTAATAAGAAAAGTTGAAATTAATACATGCAAGATTTCACAGCTCTACATTGATTACAATCGCATAATTATCCTAAACTGAAACAACCTTTATTATGTCCTAACAGTGTTCTAATATCTGTCTCATTATGAGACCCCTTTTACAATGTCAAACAAACGTCTGATATCTGTCCTATTTACAATTTACAATCCTCTAACGTAAGCTAGCAATAAAAGCGGGCTTTATTTTATTAAGACTCTCAATGCGCATGAGTCTAAATTTACTCTATAAAAACAAACAAACAAACAAACAAAACAGAAAAATACAAGTTTAAAAGTAATGAGAAATAATTTCGGATTATAAACAAATCCCTTAATTACTTAGAAATTACTTGGTTTACATTTTGAATATGATAGTAAATTTAGCAGATATCGTCTTTGAGTTATCCAGATATAGGTGAAATCAAGAACCCTGATGGAAGACATATTTTCGTTAAGACTCAGACTTTTCATAGATTTCTGTACCGAAATATTTGTGAATCGTGTGGTCAGTTTACAAGAATTAAGTTAACTGCAGGAATTATGAAGATTATTTTATTAGAAATACAAACGTTAAACATTTAATTCCATAGAGAAAATCAAATTATCCGCTTAAAACCACTCCATTGTGAAGAAGTGGTTAGTAAGCTAATGTAGTATATCATTATTATACCTGAGAACTTTCAACAACAGCAACTAAAATCGATTAGCACGTGTATGTAGAAGAGAATATAATGACATAGACAAGTTCCACGCTATTTCAATCAAAATGGTAGAAAGGAACCCCCCCACACACCAATACAGAACGAGTGTTTTAAGAGGAGCATTTGGTAAAATTTCAATCGACTGGCTGCTCGGTCAGTGAATGCTGAATGTTTACGTAATGGATAATATCAATGGATAATATCATAATATATGGATGATATTACCATTTTATTACGACAATTTTGGTCGCTGTCGACACTGATTAAGGCTTATAACTGAGTCGTTACATGTTAAGCCTCGTAAATGCAAACACTTTCGAGTAACTGAATAAATAAAAAAATACCGGTAATAGCAGGGTAATAAAAATTATTGAGGGCATACGATTTAGATGTGAATAGCGACCTAGAAATAAATCTTTTCTATCTATCTATCTATCTATCTATCTATATGTCTGTCTGTTGTAATCTAAGGAAGGTTACTGAATAGAATAATCACACGAAGCTTAGCAATGAACGACAATAACAACATATAAGATTCGCCAGCGGCGCGTAGAAGTCAACTGCTAGAAGTGAGTCAAGTGAATTCCACAATGAATCTCCAACTGCAGGATATTTACCAACCGCCCCACGCGGTCAGATGTAGCACAAGGCCCAATTTAATGTTGGGTATCCGAGCCCAGAGGCTCTGATAAAAATTCTCTGTAGGGTCGGGTAGCTGTTTCCCGAGACGGGACTCTACCCTTCGACTTACCCTCGTCTGTCCAGAGGCAGAGAGTTTGACCATCACAGCTGGAGACGAATCTTCAAATGCAGACCAACATACAGTATTTACTACTGTATTTATGTGATTGGGAACTTTCCCATTATCGTACGTAGGTATGCTACAACATTATCTATCTTCCCCTATATAAAGATTAAATAAGATTTTCAAAATAATAAGCTTTTCTCTCATATCAGCAAACTGGTGCATTCATCGGTTCAGTGACTTTCAATCAAAGGGAGAGGCCCGGAAAATCTGCAGGAATTTTCGCCGATAGCGTTCACTCGATAGCGATGGTTTGTTGCTGGAATTGGTTTATGCAATGTTGTCTTAAAAAAAAAGAAATTTTTATCTTTACCATTGGATTAACTTAAGTTTATTATTTAAGACTGATGTACGTGTATGTTTAATTTTCTGTAAAATTGCAGTATTTTAATAAAACATTTTTCCTGCAAGAAATTGGCAAACCAATTGTTATGAAGGATTTTTTCGAAAAGCTAATATTTTCTCTATGATTTTCATCTTCATAACAATGAACATTCTGAATGTAAAATTGTAAAATTCATGCTTTTCTTTGCAACATATATTTGAAAAAGTAGGTTGAATTTTAATTTTACTGTTCTTCTTAAATAGAAGACAAAATATACATTTTTGCGCTGGGAAAGTAATTAAAATATTATTTATTAAGAATTTATGATATAATTAAATTAAACTAATTTAATTTAATATTTTACAACTGTATTTGAAAATATACCACAGAAATATAAAAGAGAAGACAATATTTGAGAGATATTTGAAACGGCGAAAGTTACTAAATCTATCATTATTAAGAATTTTGTCATATGTTGTTAAATAAGCTTTGGAAAAGGATTTTTTGGATGAAATTGCATGTCAGATGTTTGATAATTTACCAGACCTTGAAATTAGGATGTCTAAAAATAATAAAATATCATTTTTTTTTATAAAGCATCCGATCCTTCAAGAAAGAAAGAAGAAGAAATTCTTAGTAATACAAGTTTTTATTTTTTAAGATTAAAGAAATCTTTTAAAGATGTAGATCCGAGTAGTTTAAAATTTCTACTTGATACTATAACCCAGCGAGTGTTTTTGTTTTATTATGTTTATTGTTGTTAAATTGAAAACATGTTGGAATTCATTGTAAAATATCTTTGATAATTTCTTAAATGCATCATTTCATTAAGAAAATAAATCCTTGGATTACATTCTCACATATATTTTTCAAACGTTAGTAATTATTTGATTCTCACAAGGCAACCCAGAGAGAAGAACTAAAAAGTTAAAAATTTTAAAACTTTAAATTTTATCTATAAGACAAGAATGTTTATATATTAAAATTTCCTTGTAAAATTTGCATTAAGACTACAGAGTGAATATTAAAATTCATATTTTGCAAGGGCTTACGCATATCCATCATACTACATTCAAAATAACATATTTATCCATTCAGAAAACATTTAACTATTTTTTTTTAAATTTTCCACTTTTATATATAATGAATTAGTTAACTCACCAAATTATCCTCCTAATTTTGTGTTAGTATTAATGTAAATTGATTTTAATTATTAGTCAACGATATATATATATATATATATATATATATATATAATCGACTCTCCCGTCGCGTTCGATGTATGAGGTCAGGCCGATATATATATATATATATATATATATATATATATATATATATATATATATATATATATATTCACAGTGAAATATATATTTCCTTTATCTACTGTAAAACAAAGGTGGATATCTGTAGTTGTAACCAAAATCACAGAATAAATTTTACAAGACTTTTCAAAATTATTATTTTGTCTTGATTGACAATTATTTTTGATTTTGATTGGCATTTTCAAGTATTTTCGATCTTTTATTATATACGATATTTAAAATGTTGTAAATTTTACTTTTGTGGTTTATAGAGTTAATTTGCTAGATTTAGTAGAGGAAGTCAGTTTTGTACTTTCTTTCTGCAATTCCATTTAAAATAAGACAATAATTGATATAATTGTAAGGTGTTTACTAATAATGTGTACACTTGTTAAATAAACAATTATCAGATATTACTAATTATTGTCTTGATAAAGGTATACTCAGTAATTATTAATTAGGAGTATTTTAAGACCCTAGATGTTCTTTCCCAATCTTGAGGCCAGTTAGAAATATCGCCTTGGTATCAAGTAAAATCATGTGTTTAGTTTAACAGCGGGTATATCTGTCTCAAATGACATCGAAATTTTAACCTTGCTAGTCTTCAATAAAATCAGATTTACAAGGAGAAATGAGATTATTATTACCAGTTGAACATCAGGATAAGGGTCCTTTTTAGAAGTGTTGGAATCGTGAATATTTTCCAGAGCCTGACAGTCCGATCTTCGACCACGGAGATTTCTATTTCTTCTGATTTGCAACTGAAATCTCGCTTGTTCACTTTGGCAATTTTATTCAGAATTATTTCTGCTTCCTTTCCCTTATTTACGGTTAGTAGCCAACGTGGTGACTCTGGTAACACCCTACAAAGATTAATAATATTAAGAAAATAATCTTGGAGAATGTTTAAATAGTATATGCGAAATTCTGAAAGTAAGTACTCGAGATTTGTTGAGATTGTTCACAAAGAGTTAAAGACAAATAACAAAGAGATAAACAATATTGCGATTTTTCTGTTTTAAATCTTACCAAATGAAAAGCAATCCAACTGCTATCGAGTGTATGGAAATCAGTAGAACGATCAGCTTCCAGGTTCGAACGTAATATGCCAATAGACTAAGTATAAGATATCCGCTGTTGAAATAAAAGTGAACTGCTATGGTGGCATTTGTTCTGTTTTTCATTGACGAAATTTCAGCTCCTATTAAACACAAGATGAAATTAAAAGTATTAAAATAAAAGCAACTTAAGATAGGGGTTTTTTAATAAATCTAAAATTTCAAAAATGTTTTTTAAAATAGTTTCAAAAGCATTTTGAATATTAAATTTAGAGTAACAAGCTAATCTTACGTTACTTTTGTGGTCCGATCCTCAACTTTGAGCTTGCCCAAGACTTAGATGTTAAATATTTACTCTCAATTGTATTATTTGTTTTTCAAGCTGTAGATAAGAAATATTGAAATCTGATTCAGGTAATGAAAATAATGTTATTTTCAGTTTTCTCTCGGCAGATAGATAGATAGATAGGTAGACAGACAGGCAGACAGACAGAGAGAAGGCCATAGTAAATGAAGTTGTTGCGTATTTGTCTTTCCTGGATTTTGTTGGTATTTGAGCTAACTTAAAAGCCAGGATTGTGTATCTTCATTTTTATGGCAGGACTGCCAGGTTTATTAAGAAGATTGCACAACAAAATCTTCGTCCAGTATCGATTATTATATCTACATTCTTGTAAAATATGCAATACCTACAAACTATAAATATCTATATACGTATCTCCCCGATTTTATATTTATTCAACTTGATGTTTGTGCAATTTACATTTTTTAATTTTTTTTAAAAGTCTTCGCTCACCCTTCCAAACATTAAAGGCATTACACAGTTTAGAAAAATTCGTTACAATGGCATAAAAAATTGAAATTTTGTCACATTGAATTATATTATTTTTTAAATAAAAATTTCATTTTGAAAAAGAAGTTGTCTTGCTCCTCATCAGTAATTCTGTTAGAATAATTACTCTGAACTTTACATAATGCATTTCACTAATCAGAATGCGAACAATAATACGTTTACTTATATGAATGAATAGTGAAATTCATTAGCTTACGGGAGAGCAGATTGAAAACTTTACAGTAGGAATTGTTGATTAAATCTTTTGCGTTCACCAAGGCAGAAACAGTCTTGTTTCATTACAATACAAGATTTTGGATCTCAGGGAAAACACTAAGAATTTGATTACTGATTTTTAAAACTTAGAATGTCTTCGTATTTGTAAGATGATCACAGTACGATGTTCCTAATCCCAATTTTCTTCTTCTAACATGTTGTTTGTTACAGACCAAGTAATTCCCATGAGAAGAAAAGATGGCCTTCCTCGCATTTGTTAATTTAAACGTTGCAGTATTTACGTAAAATCTATAATATAACTTTTAGACTAGTAAAATGTTTGGTGATTGATATTAAAAAGAAAACATGCCTTACCGAACACAACTGATGGCATAAAAGAGAGAGCAGATCCAATGGCTGTCAAAATGCGGAATATGATAATCACGTAAATGTTCATGATTTGCGTAGAGAGAATTCCAGTAATTCCTTGCAGTAGCAATGCCGCGATGATGACAATTTTGCGTCCGAATCTGGAAAAAACAAGGATGCTTAATGCAAATGAGAGAAAGCTTGTCTCAGAAAAAAGGTTTGCTATTAATCTGCAGTTGTTACATATGAGAAAGAAATGTAAGTGAATTTGGAACCTGAAGCCTCATCTGCATGCTGATGGATGTTGCTGCTCTTTGTAAAGTTTTCCACTCAGGATTACTCTAACAGTCTAGCGGATTAAAGCATTGGCTCGTAAATTCGGTGACATAGTAATTCTAAGTTCAAACTTTGGGTTGGGCAGTGTTTATTTGGACTAAGTGGAAACGGGGAAAACAATAACGGCGCTGAACTAAATAAGAACTAGATGATATATCTCTGGACATGGTCAGCAGAATGAGAACAATCTAACCCGTGATTTAAATAAAGTTTCCAATACGAAAATCACTGAAGATTACTCGGATAGACAAGGACATGATGACGGCAACAAGGATCGAAACGTTTTGATATTAAAAAACAAATATATGAGCAATATTTTACATCTTAATAATATAAATAATAATAAGAAGAATTATAATCACATATGAAAATTTCAAATATTATGTTGAATCAGGAGTAACTTCCGTTTTTGGGAACTAATTGTAATGGCGAATGTATCATCTTAACTACAAATCATGAGCGGGAGTTAAGAATAAATTTGGTGTACACTAATATGCAACCATTGATCAACAAAAGGCAACGGTTTGAAAAAGGATAAGTATTGCTTTTATCCAGGGTAATAGAAGGCGGTATACAGTAAAAATATTACAGGAAACTAATTTTGGAAATCGGTTTGTCTGTTCTACTCAATTCGTCATATTCACTTGGCTTTATTATCTTTTGTGATCACTGCAAGATGATTTGATGAAATAATATTTCATGAATTCAGGATTTTGCCACACGAATTCAAAAATCAGTAGATTTCTACAGAGATCTCGAAAAAAAAGAGTGCAGCATCAACAACAGTTGCAACAACAAAAGCACGAATAACAAGAAAAGCTACAGAAGCAGCAGCAAAAACAGCAACAACAACAGAAACAACAGCGAAAAAAAGCAGCAGCGAACCGATTCGAAGATGGAGACGGAGAAAATGAGTCCACATTGGTTCTCCTCTTCAAAGACGGAGAAAAAGAGGAGGAAGAGGAAGAGAAACCAATCAAAAAGGAGAAGCGAAGTAGGGCGGAGAGGGACATGGAGAGAGACAAGTCCCAATCCATCCCTGCGTCGCCAGCAAAGATTATAGACCCTGCCCAAATCAAGGATCCTCCTCCTTCATCCCCTCGGGTACCACCCACCTCTTCCCCATCTCTTCATCCATCCACTTTCGCCCCGCTTCACCTAGCCAGAGAAAAGGAGAAAAAAGAAGAAAAAAAAAGAAACAGTTTCTTAATGCAGAGGAAATCTGTAAAGTGGACAGACGGGCAGCAGAGAGGAACCATTTCACACAGAAGATAGCTCAGTTGTGTTCCCTATTCCGTCGATGGAAAGTCGGTGGAGGATCCCCACAATTTCCCCAATTCCCAAGGTGTGATAACGGGAAGTTACTTGAAAGTGTGGTCCCACCTGTTCGAGGCGAAGGACGCCTTCCCAGATCTAAGAATGGCCCACATACTCTTATGATTTTTTGTAAGGAGGGTTTCGATAATGCTCCATCCCTCTCTATATAGGGTTTTAAAACTAACCTATTCCATGGATGTTGGCAGTTTTGTCCGAAATGGACGGATGACGTCGGAGATGGGAACGGGGAATTTAAGACTATCCTTTGAGTTCCTCACCCAAGTAGATTTCTGCCCAGTATGTGAATCGGGTCTTTTCTCTTTTTCAGGGTTAAATCATGTCTATCAAGATAGCGAATTTGAACGCGAATGGCCTGAAAGATTGGGGTAATGCGGCCCGCCTGCTTCGTAACCTCTTGTTGGTCGGTGTGCAATCCAGGAGACGCACTTTGTTTTCAAGGTTGATGCTTGTGTGTTGTCTACCGACTTTGTCGTCTATTCAGCATACAGGCAACGACTTACCAGAGCCGTCTCCTTGATGATGAAGCGTACCCTGGATGCGAAGTTAGACCTTTTCTACATCCATGACAAAGGGTGGTTGATGGTGCCCGATGTAGTGAAAAGTGGTTCGTTCCGGATGGTTGCGGTTTAAGCACCCAACGTCCGGGCGGATCGTATCGCGTTTTTTTTTCGTCATCTTAGGTAGTTCCTGGTGGATTCGTCTTGCCTAGTCTTAGCGGAGACTAGGTGGAGGAACTAGTTGGATGTTGGGCGATCGTAGCTTGGTTGATCTTATCGGCGAATTTGGTTTCGTCGATAGCTGCCGGGTCGATCAACCAGAGGTAATGATATAGACTTGGGCACGTAGTTAGCCGTCTCCCCAGGTATATAGCTATCTGGATATAATTTTTAGTGATAAGTGTCGATGTAGGTCTGTTAGATTGTCCCACTTTCCACTGGTTAGGCTATTCCGGTTCTCGACCTTCCTGGCCCTTTGGTTGGATTGATGGACCTGTCCGCATTTTCGAAGTGCGGTTCAGGCCAGGATTCCAGTTGGAGAAAAACTGGTCTGAATTACTGTTCGGCGAGTTGGTCCAGATCTAGATTCGAAAGCGGTTGTCCTTGAAGAGGAGGGCTGAGGCGTGTGCCACTTACGTCTTTCCTCTAATCCTTTACCGTTTGTCTGTACTTACTCTCTGTAAGGAACGTAAGAAGGCTATCGAGTTCTTGCACTCCTCCCTCTTTTGGGGTGGTCACAAGCATCACGTTGACAGAAATGTCTGTGCCCAACGTTCGTGTCATGGGGATCTGGGAATGCCACACTTGGCGAGTCACCTACACACCTCGGTTTGGCTTTCGGACGTCGCGCGTTGACAGCGGATTCGATCTTGAAGACGAATGTGAGGGCAGGTCTTCGGAGTCAGCGGCCGATTAACTCAGCAAACTTGAGTTTCGCTTACCTGGCGATTGGTTCGGAATCGGCTATCACTCAGTGGAGTAGCGTTCAAGTGGGCCTTGATGGATTTTCCAGAAAGTCAACGATGTGACCTTGGCTTAGAGGAAAAGGCTTCGCACGCCTTTTACCATGTCCTGAGGCGCGCCCCGTCTGGGACTATGTCGGCGAGTTGACGGCTAGTATCGCTCCCAAAAAGCTTGTGGTCATTGATCGCGCATACGCGTGTGAAAATGTGTCTCCCCCGTATTCTGGGGTGAAACATATGGGTTTTATGATGCTGCTGGCCTTATCAAATTGACAAACTGACTTAGAGGACCAAACGCGTCGTCTAAGATCTTGATTTTATACATATAATGTTTGTATTAGATGTCTGCGTATATATTTGAAAAAATACAAATAAAACTAGAGAATTAAATATGAAGATAAATCTGAATGAGAAGAAATGACTATTCTTTGAACATATACTTACCGATCAGGAAGCCAACCGAAGCATAAGACGGCAGTGAGAGAACCAACAAAATATGCCGTGTAAATTTGATTGGCGAGCCATTCTTTGCCACAAACTAAATTTAACTAAAAATACAAAATATTGAAAAAAAGATTATAAAAAATTAAGCAGTACAAATAAACCTGTTATAAAATGTTTTAAAAGATTTATGATTGTAATGGGTCAACTACTGATGTACTGACGGTAATTGCGAAAAGAGTCTATCATGCTTTAGATAAAAAAAAAAAAAAAAAACGGTGAAACATTGGACATCTAAACACAGGAGCTGGAATTTAGGTCTTCTGTACAAGCTGGAAAGTTACGGTGTATCCGAACACTTTTTGAATTGATCCAGTCTTTGCTATTAAATCGTGAAATGAAAGTTATCCTGAATGGTCACTCCTCTAGGTCCATTCGTACTAACGTGGGTATCCGCTAGGACACCATTCTGTTCCTACTCTGCTTTTAAAGGCAGTAATGTCACTAAAACACAATGCTTTACAGGATGTGGGAGAATTTCGAACAGAAACAGGGAATGGAGTAATTTAGAGGGCGGTAGATAGCGATTGACATTGCATTTATTTTTTGAAGATTAAAATTGACAAGGGAACATGGAGCCGGAATGGTTTTCCACAAGCGAAAAGTGCGAGAGGAGAAAGTGTTAGCATAAAATTTACGATGATTCGGAAAGTGAATTAGATATTCCGATGATAGAACGTCATATTGTGATGCATCAAAGGAGCGAAAAAGAATTGATATGGACCAAAGGGATACTAAGAATAAAAATAACCTTCCGGTTTCAAATAGTAATGAAGATATTGAGACATATGCGACTAAAAAGGAGATTAAATGTCTTAGGTATCAGGGTGACGACACGACGAGAGTTCTGACGAAGACCATAGCATTAGTAGTATCACTAATAGGCATAGGCTCGGAAGGAGGGCTAAGAATAAATGATCCCCACAGGTACGGACAGATGATAACAGTAGCAGAGGGAAGGTCAAGTGTAGCAGAGGTGAAAAGAGTAGAAAAAAGAAATCTATAAGAAACTTAACGCGTTTGCAGACATGATTTAAAAGAAACTTCACGTCTTCTATTTACTCGTAATTTTGTGTCATTTAGTTTTTAAAATATAAAAGTAAATATATCAAATACAAATTTTTTAAAAAATGTGTAGTCTTGGATAGCGTGAACAGCGGGCTCCACCGACTAGACCATAATGACACACATGCACGCACAAATACAGATCAACTGTGAACTGTGAACCATTACGAAGAAACTCCTGTTTTAAAATTTAAATAGATGCATAATTTAAAAAGTGAATGAATATTTTTACTGGCTTAGCAAAGAGCAAACGGAAAAACATTTCAGAAGAACTATGCAATTGTGTAGACGGACAAAAAAATATATAAATGTAATGACCTTGTCTGTATTCAGACATTTTTAACAGTATTTTAGCTGACAGTAGTCTTAGGAGTTTATTTATTCCTTACAAAAATTTTAATTTACGGACTAACCATATAAATATTTTTAGCCCAGACAGATAGTCTTAAGAAATTTATTTATTCCTTTCTGCAGGAACAGTTTAAAACTTTCATATTGTGTAGTTTGTTTCAATACATTTTGTTAACGTTTTTTGTGTTGTATTATTCCATGCTTATTTAACAACAGAACATCAAAGAAACTATAAATATATATGTGTACAAAACATCAAAAAATAATATTGATTAGAAATAATAAAAAAAATACTTTTCAAAATATTCATTATTTTTCTACTCGTGAAATGTAAAATTACGTCAGAAAGTCTCTTCTTGCGGTTAATAATAAACACTTTAAAGGCTAAGTGTTGTAAAATATACCTCTGCAAATGCAATGTATGTAAGCAATTCACTGTAAATACAAGGAATAACATGTAGTGAGTTTCATTTTAACAGATCCCCAAACGGGGCTCATGTCAGGTAATAGGTTAAATCCTTCCATTGCCCAATCCTTTACTCATTTCGCGGATTACCCCACTCGTTTCCCAAGCAAAACCGACCAACAGGTTTCGCTACTTGATTTGTTTCTTACCCCCTCTCCTCGCTCTTGCCGAGCTTCGCAAAACTGCCCTCTTGTTAAATCGGACGACTTTGTGGGATTATATTGATATTTAATTCTAGTCATCTATTAAACAGGAACCCTCTATTCATAAGACCTCTTTTTGTTACCAGCATGCTGAGTGGAACACACTCCATGATTTTCTTCATTACGCCTCTTGAACTAACATCCTTAAATTTCCTCTTGATAATTACGTCAATGAAGTTTCTTCTTGGGTCAAAGGCGGCATTGATACATTCATCACTTCTCGGAAATACCAGATGTAACCTCAACACTTTCCATTGTTCACACCAACATGGCTGCTATAGCACAAAGGTTCCAATATTTTCGGCTATACCAGCGTGACAGCTCTCGTCTCAACAGGCGCCTATTCCGTTGCTGCTCGTAATATATATAAACGAGTTCGCGAAGGAGCAAAGTCTCTGTTTTCTGAGCGAACGAAACACCGTATTGCATCTAATAACTGTAGCTCTCGAGATTACTGGAGGCATTGTAATAGGGTATTAAGAACATGTCTTGTCCCACTCGTACTCTCTTCTCTCAATTTGAAGTGTTAACATCCTCTCCCCGTAAATTCTCTTTAAAATTTACTCATGACTCATCCCGTGTATCCCTTCCTAACTTGCCACTTAGAACTGAGTCTCTATTGATTGATATACATATAACCGCTTCCATGGTTTCTGCTATCATCTCAAATCACATATAAGAAATTCCTCACTGTCTCCTGCTTTCCTATCTGGTGGAAGTCATCATCTATTCTTCCAGTTTTAAGAACCCTGGTGAACTTCTACGTCTTTTTTTTTAAACTTCCAGAGGCCCTAATCCATGACAAATTGGTTTGTTGCCTCTCAGCGCAGGGTCTTTTCTCAGACAAGCAATATGGCTTTCGATTCTCCGGGTCAACAGCTGATGTACTGACGATGATTGCAGAAAGAGTCTATCGTGCTTTAGATAAAACAAATCTAATAAGCCTTTGACAGGGATTGGCATTTAGGTTTTCTTTACAAGCTGAAAAATTACGGTGTATCCGGACACTATTTGAAGTGATCCAGTCTTTCCTATTAAATCGTGAAATGAAAGTTATCCTGAATGGCCACTCCTCTAGATTCTTCCGTACTAACGCGGATATCTGCAAGGACACCATTCTGTTCCTACTTTTAATTTTCAATAATGAACTCATCGATAATATCAGTTCTGAACTTGGTATCTACGCTGAAAACACAAACATTTACTCTTGCCTTGGTGGCAAGGAGTCTGACAAGGTCAAAATTGCATCCGATATCCATAATGAACTCAAGTCCCTTGTTAAAAGAGGCAAATGGTAGCTTGTTAATTTTAACGGCTCCAAAATTAAATTTCTCTCCATTAATCATCCTAGGACCACCTGTCTAACCTCCAGGAAAGTGATTCATTGTGCCTTCTCGGATAGACATGAAGTGGAAAGGCTATACTGAATCCATTGCTAGGTCAGCTACTAAGAAATTTGGTTCACTGTGTCATGTGAGGCAATTTCTTTCTTGAGAAACTATCATACATATCTATATATCTACTATTCGTCCATAATTTACGTATTGCTGCCACATATGGTCCGCTGTTCCTGCTATTTACGTTGAGCTTCAAATCAGCAATATTTTCAGTCCTGATCTGGCGGCTCAGCTTCAGTTACTTTCCAACCACCGTAAGGTTCCATCTATGTGTCTTTTCTATAAATACTTTCATGATAATTGTTCGGATGTGTCCTTTTGAATGTATGCGCAATACTAGACTAGCGTCGAGACCTCATCAATTTACCGTCGATCTGTGGCTACATATAGCCGTAAATCCTATCCTAACAGTTTCTATTCTCCCATTTCCCTCTTGTAGAATTCCCTCCCGGTTCCATCCTTTACAGCCAACTTTAATCTGCAAATATTTAAATGCAATGTCAATCGCTATCTGCTGTCCTCCTGGTTACTTTTTTCTCTTTCCGTTCATTATTAATGTTTCTGTTCCTAATTTTTCCACACCCAGTAACCCTTTATGTTTTAGTGGCTTTACTGCTTTACTTGGAGTGAAAACGAGTAATAAAAAAAAGAAAAAAAGAAAAAAAGAAAAAAAAAAGAAAAAAAAAACTGCCACTACCACGACTTTGAACAATAGTAATTTGTGTTATTGCAACAAGTGTCATACAGAAAGACACACTATCAGAATACGTCGCTTGAAACTATACAACTCTACTTTGTAGGATACTAATGATACCAATATCGGGGCTAATCCGGTGATGGTTTTGCTGTTTTACCGTATATTTAAATACATTTTTATTTTCTGGTTATACTATATTTAATTTTTACCTGTGCATATGGGGCCGGTTCTTAAGTCATATCAAGAGAATGGTGAAAAAAGTAGCCTTTGTCTAGGTTTTCGATATAAGACCAAAACGGTTCAAAGACTGAAGAGAGCCGCTAAAAATTTGAAGAGACAATACACTTTCTTAGAGAGGCTAGCCCGCACGTGGCGAAATGCTAAGCCAAGGAGTCATCATGGGTTCCCTTTCAGATCTTTCTCTCTCTACTTCCTTGAATCGATCCTAGTACTTATATCCCTCTCATTTTCTAAAGCGAATAAGAAAAAGATAACGATTTTTATCGATGTGGCGCTGGGGTCTAAAGATGAAGACAGTGGTGACAGAGAATGTAAGAGACTGGCAGTTTGGAACTAGCTGTTACTCACCCCCCCACCAGTGAGAAATACCATATATTTCTGATGTTCAATGAAAATTCGTAATATACTCATGTGTAATTCTTACATTTTACGTAGTTTTCTCTCCATGCAGCGACAACAATTACGTTTTTTTTCCCTCTGATTGCATGATACCGCATCTGTTTGCATCTTTTCATGCAAAAGGACTGTTATCTTTTGAAGTCTCTGGTTGAGATTTAGGGGCAACTCATTCTGCACAATAACAATAATAATAATAATAATAATAATAATAATAATAATAATAGTCACAATAATGACCGAAAACAACGCCATAAAAAGAATTATATAGAAGAGAGAAATAACAGAAACCAAAATAAGGGTCTCTACATATGTGTGGGGATAAATATGAAATAATCAAACGTATGAGCGAATGTAAGAAATTCTCCCTGAAAGAATACAAGAATATGCATGACTGGATGGAGAAAGCAATCTACTTAGAATTGTGCAAGAGACGGCATTTCGTTTATGCATTCTATACAGATTCCAATTTATGTCGTAGAGAATGGAGCTTATAAAATAATTTGGGACATTTAGATCCTAAACGATTTCCCAATTAAGAACAGAGAACAAATCAAGTTGTTGTAAATAAGAATAAAGAAGAAAAGGGATATTCAAGATTGAGGATTTTGCTGCCCGATTATACCACAGAGTAGATTTACAGGAAAGTATTTCGATATTAGCAAGGCGCTTTGCAAGTTATGGAACATATACCTGATGGCTGGTTATTATCAGTACGCTAGGGACGATAAAAAGATTCAATAATTAGAGACCATCCAGAAGACATAATTATTGCACTTTATTACTAGTGTGAATACTTTCTGAATGAACATTATAATACAAGAAATAGTTGTGAAATCAGAGTGAGTAAAACTTTCAAAGTGCCAAAGTGCGCTTGTTTCATATTTTTGCCATTTATGCTTTGTTGTTTGACATTTAGAAACAAAATTCCGATCCGTATCAAAGGCAGTTAAGTAGGTGAACGATGTTAAATGTATAATAGTTATTTGGTTAGAACTATATTAATAATGAATGATGCAATAAAGATGTGTTTAATTCCAACGCGTAAAAACCTATTTGCTATGGATACCACAACAGCCATGCTTAGTGTGTATTGAGTCAACGAGCCTTTAATCCACAAAGGTGCCTGCAGGATTAGCGACAGGGTGCATTTTGGATCATTCATGCCAATTTGTTAAGTACATAGATATGACCTTCATCCTGCATTGCTTATATTAAAAGGCAACTATTATATAAACTTTTAATCTTTAAGATTTAATGGTCACCTCAACATAGATATGTGCATTTTTAATGTACATTGATCTATTACGTTACATTGGTTTGTTTATATAATATAATCTCCTGACACCCTTTAAAAAGATATTTTATAAGGAAAAATATTATAAATTTAAATTCAAACGAGATCATATAACTATATCAGGAAAAGTTTACTAAAATTGATTGGTTAATAATAATTGGAATAAGAAAGCATTGGCAGGTATAATAACATGTAATATATTGCATTTCAGTATACAGTATATTGGTGATATTATATAACTTATTATGTTGTAGAGTATGAGTCTACATTTCTGATATATGGTATATACAAGCAGTGTATGTTTGTTCCCTTATGTAGTATATTATATATTATAGCATATTGATGTATATGATCGAAGGAGTGAATAACAGCTGTTTGGACAAAACATACTATAGACAATAAATAAAAGTAGCCGAAAATACGCCTTGCAAACATTTTTTCTTAATACATTTATTTATTCTTTATTTCTGTTTCTCTTTCTTTCTTTCATTCATTTTCTCACAGTTCCGTATTATTATATGATATTTTACTAGAGCAGAAGGCATAAGGAGAGCATATATATATATATATATATATATATATATATATATATATATATATATATATATATATATATATATATATATATTTGGAGGCTCAATGGCACTTTTCTGTTGATTTATAAATAGAAATGGAAATGAAAACTGTTGGATTAATTTTGCGTATAATAGCACCTGTTGGCAACAACAAAACAAGAAATTATCGGGGAATGTTTTCATTAGGATAAATTGAAATTCACACGATATATTTATAAAGTATATCCACAAAGTTTTATGAACATTGATTAATTGCTGTGAATGAATTGACAAAATTTATTAGTGGTATTATATCACCTATTATAGTATATGTGTATATTTCTGATTCTGGTTACATAAATTATTTTAAGTTTCTATGCTTTTGTAGTGCAATATATCTAATAAGTAGGTCAGAATCGTACTATGAAACGAAATCACTAATTCATACGCCACCTATTGAAAAGAATACAAATTTTTCTTCCAGTCCAATAATTTCGAAATGCTTTTATATAAAATGAGTTTTTTTAAAACAGGTTTTAGACTGATTTTGGTACGCTATATAACACAAATTGTTAGAGAATATATGATCATTGTGTTTATGAGGCTAATTGGGATGCCATCAATTAATTACATGCATATATCAAAGATACTTACGTCACTGGTGATTGTGGTTTGAAATATTGATTTGTCATAAACCCAAGAAGTACAATTACTCAGTGTCTGGTTCCCTAGGACACTTTTATTGACATAAAGATGGCAGCTACTGTACACTGGTTTCCCATCCACTATATCTTCGGGTATGTATTCTTTAATAAGCTCAGCATGGGCTTCGCTTTGGATTTCGTAAGTATCGTTTGCCAGTTCAGCGATAGCACACCTTTATCGAAAAAAAAGGTATCTTTTAAAATAATAATTACTATATTTCTTTTGTAACAAGAACAAAAAAAAACATTATTTACAGAAACTGAAGTAACAGTAGTAGTAATAGTAGTAGTAGTAGTTGTAATAAAAATAATAATAATAATAATAATAACAACAATAACTATGAGTGTCCTTATAATTATTGTATATGGAATTGTAATTATTATCTGAATTGCATGCATTGAATTTTCACTGTAACCGGAGGCTAGCACTTGAGATAAAGTAACAGCAGGTCTTCACGTTAGCATTCTCTCAACTTTACATAATACTACCCGCTTGATTTTCTTTACCTCTTAGAATTTATAATTTTAATCTCTTTGGAAATCTCTCTGGACTCTTCTAAGAGATACGACAATGTTGTTGATACACAAGTTTCTATTTCTCTAGAAAATCCAGATATTCTTGTGGTTACCCAAGAGTTTCTGTTAATTGCTTTTGTAATATTTGTTTTTTTATACTATTAGTAATTTTAACAATTTCCTCAATAAGCTTTCTGATCTGTAATTTGGATGTCTGGAAGGTCTTCATCGGACTTATCTGTTTACAAGAATCATTGGAGTTTATTATTTTCCTCGTTGAGTTTTCGCGACATAATAAACTGTTTGTTTACACTGGAGATTATTATCATTGATTTTATTGACTACGAGAGCAAGACGCCAAATTTCTGATCTTAAACTTACCATTAAGTTACGAGAACATTTGACTTACCATTAAGTTTCGCTAACATTATTTTCAATGTTGAAAAACAGAACAGAAAAAAGGAATATCTTCTCAACCTGATGAACCAACTAAATTTAACGTTTATGATAATGACATACACTGTCGTACAATTTTTCATTGGAGTGAAATTTTCACCGAGCGGCATGGGGAATCGAAAGTCGGGTTAAAGAAAAAGTGATCCGATAATGAAAATCCGGATATTCTTGTGGTTACCCATGAGTTTGTTTTAATTGTTTTAGTAATCTTTGATTTTTTCTTATATGCACATCTCTTGTATGGGCTTCGTTTTGAATTTGATCATAGTGTTTACGAGGCTAATAGAATGATTTTAAATTGACAATTTTTTTTCCAGCAAAACAGACGGTAAACACTTCTCTCTTCCACTCTTTCTTTCTTTCTGGTTTCCATTTTATATAGGGAAAATCACCTTTAATCTAGGCGTCATATTAGCACACTATTATTCAGATACACTTATATATATATATATATATATATATATATATATATATATATATATATATATATATGTGTGTGTGTGTGTGTGTGTGTGTAGATAGCGAGTTGAGAAGCATACAGACCGAATTAAATAGAGTGTACTCGCATGATAACAATTCTGTTATGAATCCCACAGAGGCAACCCAAGATAGAACTGTAAGCATTTTTTACCTTTCAAGGAAGGTCATCATCGGAAAATCTTTGTCTCTGCCGAGTTGGAAATATCGGTGAAAGAATTCGTCTCTTGTGTCAACAACTACTGCAAAACTCATCATGATCGTGGATGGCACTTTACAGCTTGTATTGAATTTGAATGCTGATTGTTCTAGTCATGCAAGCTCTCATTCCTTTGAGGATTGGCGCAAAACAATATTTCCTCAGCACATTCCGCTCAGTGAACATCAACGCCATTTTCTCTTGTCTTTTTGTGAATTAAATGCTGACAGTGTGATTTGACTCGTCACATATCTTTGGTGCTAACAATAAATATCCCCTATATAGATACCAACGTGTTTCACCGTGTTAGAACTGGAAGAATTTAATATACATAACAAATAGGGCCCAAGGAATCAAATTAATATTTAATAAATTCGAAGATGTTCATTTAAAATGTTAGCATTCTTCCTAAATATTGATTCAGATATAATATTAAGAATAAAATATCTTAGTGTTTTTCATGACTCCATTGACTGCTGAAACTATTATCCTAATGATCAATGAGATGTTCGACACAAAATAGTAGAAAGTTACGGCTAGAGGTTATACACGATTGGGTTATACACATTAATGACCTCATAACAAAATTAGACATATTTTTATTCTTATGCCGTTTACTTTCAATTTATGACATTGTATATGTGAGCAACAGCTTTGAAGTTCAGGCCACCGAAGTAGAAGACTGCAAATAGTAGTTTTACGTGATGCGATTAAATCTTTCAGTAATCCCAATATCGTGAGAAATGGAAATTTAAATAAAAATAATAAACATGGAAATTATCTTACCTGTGTTTTATTCCAGGAACAATGAAAACCATACTACCGATATGTAGTCCATCAAATACCGCGGCAATATACAATACACTAACCATAAATATTTGGTAACGTCCACATCCACCAACAGATTTGACCACATCTTCGTACTTCATATTTTTAATATTTCCTAAGTCAAATCGCAAATCAAAAAATATTTTTTGTGGATAAATCCCTCATTTAAAGAATAAAAAAATTGCCTTTCTCTGTGTACGTGTAGTCTTTTCGAGATCAGTCATTATCATGCTTAAAGTGGCCTGATATCTATGACTTTTGTCACGGTCTAATTACCTCGGCCAATCAGCTTTTGCCTATGAAGTAATCAGCAGCAGTGGAGATAAAATTAAGAGGCATTCATCGTATTTTAGAGCGAAAATATTTATATGCAGTTACGACTTCAACAAATTCGATAATCAACAGATGATCTAAACTTGCGGATATATACAGAATAATAATCAAAGTTATCGAAAAGCATCAAACTCATTGCTTAAAAAATAAAGTTTTCCTAATATTGAAAAAAGAAAATTGATTGATTTTTGTTTTGACAATTTTGACATAAGGCGATTGTTTGGCAATAACATTTAAATTTTCTAATGTAATTCCGACACTTTATTGACCCATAAACTTTACACATCTATGTGGCTGGAACGAGCTTCAGTACTGTTTGAAATAAGTGTATGATTATTATCTTTACTTTTCTTTTGTATGAGAGAGTAAATATGTAGTTTCAAAAAAATTATTGAAACTTTAAACTGAATAAACACATATGTTCACTTTATCATTTGTCTTCTATTTCCAACGAAGCAATAATTTCTGCATCAGAATTTGAATTGATTGCACAGCAAATGTATAGAAGGTAGTTAACTGTATACCAACTAATTTTACAATACTAGTTGTTGTAAATGCTGCAAAAAGTTTTGCTAAATAAAAGAAACAAAATAAGCATATATTGAGGTCTATTAGATGCAACGTAGATTCAAGGGATTTTATGATGAAAATGACGTCTGCATGTGAATTCTTCGTTATTTCTTTTACCTGTTGTAGTTAATATTTAATTAGGGTACTCAGATAGGGATTACAAGTGACATCGAATAGGGAATATAGGATTTCATGTACAATAGCATTAATTAAACTATTTACATTAATTTAAACAGAAATTACAATAACATTATTGTCATAATGATTTGTGAAATACATTTTGCAACTCAAATATCTCTGGATGGAATAAATAGGTTCGTTTACATTGTATAATCTCATATTGTTGATGTTTCATTGAACTTCTCCAGTGATTCGTTTTCAATTTTATGTTTTTGAATTTTGAAAGTTCGTAAGAGTCTTCCCTAGCTTTGTTGCGGCATGGCGTGGAACTGTCAAGCATGAAAACGTACTTGAGAATAGAAGATTGACATTTTATTATAATCTAATCGGAAAATGAAATCGTCACCGGTTAAGTCAATAAGAATTGTCACGTTTATAGATTAAAGTTGGTTACTCAAAAAGGATTTTTAAAAGGTTATTAGTAATACTTTTAATTGTTCCCAAATAAATAATTGTATTTTGGCAACAGTTTTAAGATGCTGTCTGGACATGTCATTTCAATCTCAAACAATATCAAAACCATTTTCGCCATTCGAAATTGTTGCATGCAAACATACATAAATGCGCGCGCACACACACACACACACACACACATACACACACATATATATATATATATATATTGAAACATATTTTGTTAAATATAACTGACAACGAATGTATATCATGTTTGATAATGTTTGTAATCTGTTTCAAAGTAGTCACAACACATTACATGCCTCTTTTTCTTTACTTTGAAAACTTCCGGTGTATCCAAGAAATTATTTTACCATACCTGTGTGTTCTATATGAAAGGTTTTGGTCATGTACAGCAAAAAGGTGAACTTTTTCTAATTATATCAAAGGAGTGGTTGGAAATTTCCAGGTACCCCTAAAATCTGACTAAGTTAGGTTCGACAGATGGCTGCTGAGAATACTGTAGAAAATAATATGGTTGTTTTAAGCAAAAGAGTAATTTTATTTTTATTCAAAAGGAAAAATTTGAAATTTCTGGGAATCATAATGATAAAAGTGGGCTTGGATAATTTAACACTAACAGGAGATATTGAAATGAAAGTGAACAAAGAGAATCATTACTGAAATAACTGGTCAATTTGTGTCAATGGATGCCAGAACTGGGACAAAGAATGATAGCAAAATATCAAATATTGCTACAAGAGACAGAAAGTTGTGGAAAGCCACAACCATCAATATCCTATATAAGCGCACGTTAAAAAGTAATTATATTATTTAATATTTATGTTTATCTATATATTCGGAGATGAATATCACACGCAACAGATTGCCTTTGGGAGAAAATAATCAATTTCTTTAATTTCCAAATATTTGATGTGAATCATTTAAATTTACCATATAGTTTATCGATCATAAATTCGTATGTACCATATGGAGATCTATGTAATATGATTAGTATTTGAAATCGGCAGGTATGCCTAAAAGAATTAAAGAAATGAAAGACAAAATACAAAATCATGATTAAAATCAAAAAGATGGAACACTCATAAAAGTAAAAGAAATAACGCTTCAAAGATGGAGCGAATATGTTGGAGAACATTTTCACAGTAAAAGTCAGAAACCTATACTAAACTATGTAAATACTTAAAATATTAACGTCTGAGGTAAGATCTACACTCGATAAGATGAACAGAAAAACGCAGAAGAAACAGATGGCATAGTACGATGCCAGAAACTTTAGACAATTATAGAAATAATAAATGAAATATACAACATTGGCACGATACTGGAAGGTCTTAATCGCTTCATCTACATAACAGTAACAAGGCAGGTGAAATAGAATGTTAATTCAATCGATAATTAGTTCAACATGCTACATAACGTCACTTATCATCGGGATTCTCATGAATAGAGTGCATAACAGAATTAGACCAGAAATAGAAGAACACAGTGGTTTGTTTAACGGGACTGCAGCAAGAAATGCAATATTTATGAACAGAATGATATCAAAGAGATCAATTTAAATGAACGCACACCTATATTTTATAAATGATGCAAAAACATTTGATAACCTACAACACAAACATCTATTTTCAATGTTCGGGAAATTTGATTTATTTCAGAAAGGTATTATCCAAAATATATACTGCGAGTATACGGATAGAAAATGAATTAAGTGCGCTAAATGGGAAAGGGCATGCGATTAAGATGCATCTACTCAGCGGAATTATTTAATCTTTACAGCTATGCGATCATAAGAAAATTAGAAGTCCTAACGGGACTGATTATCGTAGGGAACAATATACAATATAATACAGAGATGGCACCGTGTTGATAGCAACCACAGTAGGAACAAATAGACAAAGTAGTAAAGGAAAGCGAGAATAACGGACTAACTGTACGTCGTAAGAAGATATACTATATGATTGTCTGCAAGAAGAACAGCCCAGGATTTAAACTACTAATTGGAGATGTAAAAATCAAGCAAGTACTGAAATTTAACTATGTGAAAATATTTTAACGGACGATGGAAATCCAAAGGCACATTGGTATAGTGAAAGATAACTCCTAAAAGCAAAAATAGTTACAAGATATAATGAAGGGAAACAGCGACTAACCTAACTAGCAAGCCTGTTTAAATGGCTGCCAGAACATGGAGTTGCAGGGATAATAAGTTAACTATTGCTAAAAGCTACATAGATAGAAAAAAGAATATTTGTACAGACGTCCAAATTACAAGAGATTAATAATAGATAAGAGCCATATTGTTTTAAGGCTGATTATCAAGTCGAAGTTCAACATTTGAAAGCTTGGTATAAAGCATTGCTCCTATTCTTATATATATATATATATATATAGCATAATGAGAAGCCACGTATACTTTCTTAATATGTATATATAGAAAAAGAATCAAACGTATATGCTCAGACCATTTAGATTTTCTATACAACATTAATGACCTAACAAAACAATTCCTAAAATGCAAATACCCAATAAAAATAATAAAAGAAGCACTAAATAAAACTATCATGATAAATCGTAACACACTTCTCACATACAAAAAAAATAAAAACAACAATCGGATTCCCATGGTTTTTAACCACAATCAATATTCCCACACACTTATTCACAATTTAAAAAATGATTACAAGAACCTCCAATTAGACAACAAGATCAAAGACATTTTCGATAAACCACCCATAAATGCAATGAAACAATCACCTAACTTATCAGCTATCCTCACCTCTACCAAATATCTAAACAATAGAAACCAAACAGGAAATTACAAATGTAACAAACCTCGTTGCTTAGTTTGCAAACATTTAATAATAGCTAATACATTTTCCGTACCCAACACCAATATCAGAATACAGCCACCTAACCTCACCTGCGATACCCATAACGTAATCTATTATTTATTCTGCAACTTATGTCCTAATAGTGGATATATTGGTGAGTCTGGAAACAATTTTAGATTTCGTTTTAATAACCATAAACAAACAATACGTCAAAACAACCCTTATTCCCCCATAGCTAAACACTACAATCAATCAGGACACACATTAGAAAACTGCAAATGTTTATTAATAGATTCCGATTTTACTTCCACATTCACACGCAGAAAAAAAAAACATATTGGATTTTAAAATTAAATACACATAAACTAGGGTTGAATAGGGACTTAGGTGTTTTTAAATCTTTATAAATATTTCAATAGTTAAGCAATTTTTTTTTTTTTTTTTTTTTTTTTTTTTTTTTTTTTTAGATATAGAAAAAATTTTTTAAATATTTATGACAGTTAGATTTAAGTTAGAATATCCGAACAGTGACGTTCCATATCACGTGACGTCCGCGTCTCGCGAAGGACGCTACTTGCTAACAAACAGTAATTTTAATTTATTTGTAACAAACAGTTATTTCTGATGAAAAATTGAGGACAATTTGAAATATCAAATATATATATAAATAAATAAATACTTTCATAAAATAAAACATTATAATTTTCAATTTGAAACTTTTTCTACATATATATATATATATATTCCAAAATCTGGCCAAATAA